CAACAGTACCCGGCACGATCATTTTCTGTGGAAAACAAAATTTGAAACATGAACACAGCCTTGTTTTGTAGAGTTCCCTTGTCACTTTTCCCCCCACTCCCGTCGTGTCCAATCCCAGGGTTGTCAAGTCAGAGACCACATTGTGATGATCCCTTCTAAGGATGAGTCATCGAAGGCTGATGGACTATCCCATCATCAAGGCAAGGCAGGAAGGGATGATGCACAGAGCTTAGACATCCTTCTGGAACGTAAGGAGTTCATGTGCATCCCACCCAAGTCGCCAGAGCAGGAAAGGTAATGTGTTGATATTGGAGGCATTTCAATTTCACCATCTGCTTTGGCACGTTTAAAGATGTTTTTTACGTCATTGTGGATGTCGGATTTATTCTATCGTGCAGACACCAAATATAAACTATTGATGTGGTCGAGACCTCCAGCTCTGATACTAAGACAAAGATTGAGATATCCCCCTCCGAGACCATGAGTTGACTGCCGAAGTTAGAGACTTAGACCCACATCAGCAAATTAAGTCTCAAGACCTTCATCACCGGCATAAAAAAATCTTGCTCAAGGGCCCTAGAGTTGATCACTGTCAGGATTTATAACCACAGTGAAAAACATCTTTAAAAAAATGTTAAGACTGAAATGGCACATAGCTTTAATTGAAGCTCCTGATTGGCCGTGTTTATGCATAAAGGCAACAAGGTGACACTATCTTCAGTACATATACATGTACATCAGTATGGATTTCAGTGTCCATGTTGTGTTTGTAGATGGCATGAGGTCAACATCTTCAGGAGTGAGGAGGCCTTATGTGGCTTGGCCGAAGAAGGCATTGGGGTTAAAGGTCAACTGCAGCACATCTTCCCCGATGACCACCTACCTCTGAACAACCAGGTCTGTCTACAATGTGAATGATGTTTCCCATTTACATGGCTGCCTTACAATTTATAAGTCCTTACAGATATTTTAGATGGTGAAATTAGAAACAAAGGGCGTATGGCCATCATCAGCCCGTCGAGTCTGTTGTGTATGAAGGTCAGGAGGTGTTGTGGAGAGTATTCTGCACTGCTTGTATGAAGACAAAGAAGGGATATGATTGAAAAAGCCTAGTGTCTGACTTTAAGTTGACCCATCGTATTCCAGGTGAATTTGGGAGTTGGCAGAGTTTGTGAAGGCTAGTTCAACACTTTATTCCAACTTGACAGCAGAGTGAATTTTTCAGGGTAACAGTGAACTATTGATGAAGCCAATTGTGGACATCGTTGAATTTTTGTTCGTTTTCACTTGTGAAGCATGATCTGAACACAGCAGTGACGTATGAAAATATCCTTTGCCTTCCCATTCACATTTAACAAACTTATGTAACACCTGTTCAACTTCAACGTTTGTTAAATTACTAAATCTTGCAACTTGAATCGTCAAGAACTTCTCAGTCATGCCTCAGATCGGTCATTGAATATGTTTTATCAATCTCAAGAACTATTTCCAAACATACCTACAGAAGATTGAGTCCAATATTTTTGTTCCTCCGACAGCTGGACGACAGGGGTCGTGACCTCGTGGCCTCATCGTCTGATTTTGATTCCAGCGACGATGAAGTTGGTGATGAAGAAATACATAGAGGTTTGCTCCACAAATTCCTTCTCAAAAAGAGTTAAGCAGATGCCGATAGATTGATATAAAGTTGCCTTTGTGGTGGACTTGAACTTGACAAATGTTTGTTGTGCCCAGTTTGTTAGCTGTAAGTTTCTCTCTCTCAGTTTCTAAACACCGACAAAAGCATCTGGTTCGTAAGATGTCGAGTAAGTCCTCAATGGGCAGGGAAAAACACAACTCTTTAATGTCGGTGGACAGCGCTGCATCCAACATAAGGTAGGCGTTTGCCGTCTGTAAACATCCATAACAATCAAATGCAGGAGCATATCATTAAGCTTGTGAATTCTCATGAAGTCCTTGCCATTTATCACTCTTTGATAGAAACAAGCGCTGTGCATGCAATGTTGCTTTGCTAAACTGGGTACATATTTAGATTTATAACAGGGTTCGCACGCCTCCTGGAAAACCTGGAAAATCCTGGAATTTTATACCCATTCTGGAAAGTCCTGGAAAAGCTTAATTTTTAAAAGTAGTCCGGAAATTCCAGTAAAATCAATATTACTTTTAAAATGTGACAAAAATTATCCAATAAAATGTGACCGAAAATTTACTGCGATCGATCCGTCCCCGCGGAAAATCCTGGAATTTTATACCCATTCTGGAAAGTCCTGGAAAAGCTTAATTTTTAAAAGTAGTTCAGAAATTCCAGTAAAATCAATATTACTTTTAAAATGTGACAAAAATTATCCAATAAAATGTGACCGAAAATTTACTGCGATCGATCCGTCCCCGCGTACACTGTCACTATTGCGCAGCAAATTACAGTTGTTCATTATTCACCATGCATGGTCTACACACTCGAAAACACACCCGCGCTCCACACAGCGCTGTGAGCAAAATCAATTATGGATGGTGCCCACAAAGTGATTCTTTCTATTTTGCATGCGCGGGGCACCAAGAATATCATTACTCAACTTTCTTGTAGTCAAATTTTACCTTCGTTTTTGTAGCTTCATGGAGAACTATCTGTTGTGGATATACTTATAAAATCATGCTCTATTAAATTTATGTCTTTTATTTAATACGTAATTAAATATTTCCAGTCATTATAAACCAATAAAGCTCAGTATAAAAGAAAAACTTTGACTGCGGCGAACTTTTTTCCTCAACGTTAAATGGACTAGGAGATGTTTATTTTTTATGATCGCCAGCTGTGTGTAGGCCTACCTCGTGGTCCAGTTGTCACTGTCAGAAAACTTGTCACGTCTTCGTCGCTGTGCTGCTCGATTTCTGTACATAACTTTACAATCTTCTATTGTATTGTATTGATATATTGTAAATCTATTGCGTGTCCCACCTGAATTAAATCCTGGAAAAATCAAACTTTTGATCTGGAAAATCTTAG